GTTTTTTTGTTGCATTCATGCACGTATCCGATGGGAATCCCATCGGGGGATTTACGTCTCACTTATTCGATGGATGTTTGTTGAGCAATTCACGCACATATTCAATAGTTTCCTTATAGAATAGACAACTTTTTTGGTTTATTGTTAGCAAGTGTATAAGAATGGACAAAAAGCGTTGTTATGACTTTGGTAATGCCGCTGATGTAGATCAGCTAAATCGCTTAGTTTTTGAAGAAATTGACGAAAATGTGACTTTACCGCATAACGATTTCAAAGAATCAGATGATTCAGAAACTGAAGATAACATTGAACAGAGACCTGTTGACTCTGATACGGATCATGACATGGACGATGATGATGACGATCAAGAAGCTGGTTATTATATCAGTAAGTAAACGTGATGGCCGATGGTAATCTTTTATCATTTATTGAATGTAGCAGCGATAAATACTAGAATTATTTTTTTGGGCAATGGCAACGAATATATTTCAAGACGAGACTATCTAAAAAAAATTATCTCTCAGTTTAGTTTCAGAACAATTGAAGAGGAGATCGCTTATTATTTATTTGGCAATGACTGGCCAAATAAATAGAAAACCATGCTAGCAAAGCATAAACCAGCAATACCAGACGACAACAATCAACTTGGAACATAGAATCGAAGAAGGACGCCAGAACAACCTTTACATGCGAAAAGTGTAATAGCTATATATGTTTGAAAAACACGTTAAATCAATTTGTCAAAATTGTCTTGAAAGTAGTAGTGAAAGAGACGTGGATAATGAATTCGAATAACGTATTCGAAATAAAATAAAGATATACAACAAATGTGTTCGTACCCATGTGTTTTACAAATTATTAAATGTTAACTTTGATTCAAACTAGATATTAGTTGCCTTTTTATACCCCAATATTTCAGGTTTAAAATGCTTTAATAAACTAACTTGCTGTAAAACAATTTAATTTATAATTCAAAGTATGTATAATATAAAAATTGAGCTGTTTTCTGCTATGGGACTGATAGTCCCAGTACGTGTATTGGCGTTACATATAGAGTCTTCGGAAGAGTTGAAAAGAATACATGCAGAAATTCTTTTACCTGAACATTACCACGAAATTTACAAAAAATTTGGAAAAATACACATTTTAGAATAGATTGGCGAATTTATGATATGAAATCATGTCTGGATACTCTTAAAAAGGTTGAAGGACTAAGCGAACAAAGAAAGATGTTATTCAAGAAATTTACGAACCTTAAGTCCTATACAAGTCAAGTTAAATTTAAATTTGAGATGCACTACAGATTCGAAGATCCTTCAAAAACTTTTATAACACTAGTTAAACGCTGTCGAGTTACCATTACTGGATTCTGTAAGAGGAATTCCGTAAGATAAAGGGAAGGCCGTGAACTAAAGAAACGTTTTGGGTAAGACTAGATAAGGGACGATAAATAACATTTTTATTTTGATGGTCTATTTTGATGAACAACATGATGTCGATGATCAGTTATTTCATTGCTTAGAATATGCTTAGAATATTGCTAAGAATATTGTGAACCAAAATATTAACTTTTGTCTTAATCTATGTAAGACTTTGTATTTTCCATGTCGAATATACGTTCTTTTACGTTACGTTGTTGTCATTTTAAAATAAGGTTTTTTCCTTACAACACAAGATAATTTTTGGTATTTAGAAAAAAATATCAAAACAAAATTTTGCTTTCAAAACACTACAATTGACTGCCAAATACTATTCGATTAGTAATTTTTTTAAACCATTTATTTGTTATATTATTTTAAAAAATAAATTTTAATTTAGAAAATGTCTTAGCGGATTTTGTAGCATGCTACAAAATCCGCTTATTGAAAAAGTTTGATATCGGCTCTCAGATATTATTTGAGCACAATTTGCACAGTTTATTCGTCTTGTTTTGAATTGAGGTCTGTCAGAAATTCTCCGCCATCATCAACTTCATCGAGTAGACCTCAGACACCCTCTCGTGAGCAACGTTTCTCCCCTTACGATAGGCGTTCGCCATCTCTAGACGAAAATACTAGTGCAGTCAACATCTTACTTTCAGCTATACTGAATGGATCTCCAAAAGGAAATATCTTAGTGGAGTACTACCTATAATAAATTTTCTTGCTTTCTAGAGGAACAAAGAAATTCATTAATTGCATTGATTGCACATTATTTTGAAGAAAAAGGAGTCAAATTAACGCTATCTGGTAGCTATCAGCTTGAAAAATAAATTTTGGAAAGATTCCCTCCAGAAAAGCTTGTAAGTCTTAATTCTTTCTTCAAATTAAAACTTCTTTCAAAACCAACATAATTTATTTACTGACATATAATCATTATAATAATATAATGTTTAATTGACAATTTTAAGTGCAGGAGTATTACCGCACGGAAAGAAGAGGTAGGATTTATACTAAGTACTACAACTCAGTGACGACCTTCAAGAGGGGTGTTTCCAAATATGTAACATCAATTACAACAAAAAAAGGTGAAAGAAGGTCGAGGCATGAGGGTATTCTAACAGGTAAATCTGCACTCACAGCTTGATTAAAAGTTCTAAAAAAACCTATTTTCAGAACCTGAAGAAGATGCAGAATCCTATTTAAGGGCTCTTAAATTCGATAATCTTACTTCAGAACAGTTTGATGCTACATGGAAAGCATGTTGGGGATACCGCCACCAGTGCATTAAGGCATCAAAATGTACCAACGAGATCATCGAAAAATGGCCTTTTTATAAAACCCCATCTGATTATAGACTGTTATGAATTCTAATTCAAATTTTTTTTAAATTGAAGTGTATTTTGTTTTAGATTGACATGGATTTCAAATCAGCGTTTAATAGCATAGATGGGTTGCTGAAAAGATGGGACAGAGTTTGGCAAAAAGTCTATACTTTTTTAAACTCAGAAAACCATGTCAAAGACAAGTCAGTGAAAGTTCTGATTGGGAGGCTTGCTGACATCACAATCTCTGAAAGTAAGTCAAATTGTTACAAAGACCATTTACTTTATTGTAAAATTAAAATTTTGCCGTTTTGTTTGTAACTAAATTGTCAAGTTTTTTTATTATTTATGGTTTCACAGATGGACGTAATGCTGCTTTAATTTGGGCTCTACATGGCTATTTGGTGCCCACAGCCAAAAGTGTCAAGAAAGATGTGACAGGGAAAAGTCAACCACTAAACACACCATCAAAGATTCGCAGGAAGCAGTAATATTTGTTGGTGGTAGTTTTAGTGAAGTAGAAGACCGGATACACCATCTTCGAAAAAATAAAAGTCGCTGCAACCATTGATATATGGTATCGGTAAAAGTATTTTTGAAATTGAAGAAATATTTATTCAATTTGACGATATTCGTTATAAATGTACAAACATCATCAGGGCTCTAGACATTTGTTTCAAAATAATGTATTTGTTTGATTTAGAGTTCCCTCAGGAGAGCGAAATGTTTTTTAGTTTTTTAGAATTTTATTTTTTTAGGCCCAATACGGCATGCAAGTACCCTAAGGTACAAATTTTTAACAATTATTTGATGAGTGTAATGGAATAAAAGAGACTGTAGCTTTTATGTAACTGCAACTTTTATGTAGATTTATTTTGTTCAAATTTTGTAATCATTAGAGCAATAAAATAATAGTATATATAAATTATTCTGCTGATTTCACACAAAATTATACTATCACGGTCGAGTAGCGTTTTTTGTGACTCGTATAGATCTAGTCTTGAAACTTTGGTCTTTTCTCATAGTAATCATTCAAGTAATTATAATGATAACAATGAGAAACGGATAAACTTTGGAACTACATGTTATTCCCTAATATACATCAGAAAACACAGTAGTACTTACATTGTATTAATGAAGACCATTTCATTGGTGCAATGAAACAATTTCACTACATTAATGAATTCATTCATTGAATAAAGAAAAATAATTCATTAAGTCAAAGATTTGTTTCATTCTATTAATGAAAAACGTCAATGAAATATGTTCATTAAACAATGAAAAATTTTCATCAAATAATAAATATTGTTCATTAAACAATTAAAATTGTTCATTAAATAACGAATATTGTTCATTAAGCAAATGAATACTTTTCATTGAGACAAAGACTTGTTTTCATTCGACAAATGAAAAGTTTCATTAGATCATGAATAAGTTCTTTATAATTTCATGAAAAACGTTCATCGTTACAGCGAAATCGATTTCATATAATTAATGTAACACTCTTCATTGAGACAATGAATTGATTCATCGGCTGAAAATCCATAACTCAATTCATTGTCTCAATGTAGCTTTTCATTGTATTAATGTACATTTTTGGTTCGGTGCAACACAGAATATTTTACGTCCTAATTCCTAGTATAAAAACTCATTTTCTTTTGAGGACAAACATTTTTATCCAAACAACTCATTTCCTTTTCAGTTCCACCGACACGGTTACTTTAATAACTATCCAATGTTGAAACGATCATTATGCTCTAAACGACACTTAAAAAGATTTCTCTTTTCCCACTTGACATTACTATGTAAATGTTTCCTGTCATACACTTTTTTAAATCAAAAAAAAAACCTCTTTAAATTATTTAGCTTCAACCAAAAGAATGTAGAAATCAAAAAAAAATTTCGTTTATTTAATTTCAACTTAATTCTTGTATAAATTTTCTCTCGGGTTTTTAAATTTACATATTAACGATTACGATTTCTGGCCTTGAAGTATTTTTTTGTAGTAAAAGTTACTTCATTCACCGCGATAACCACAACTTACAACCATTCAAGTTCAAGATAATTTAATTCAATCACTACTTTAATGAAGTTTATTGCTTAATAAAGAGTTCATTAACAACCATTTAAGATATACAAATTGTTAAATGATTATATATTATAAATGATTTATTTAAAAAACGATATCAATTTAAAAATATTTATTTGGTGCAAAATACGTATAATAGATTAACAATGCGTTTTAATAATAATTGATTTAATTACGTTTAATAAATTTTAATTTTAATGGTCCATTTGGTGTGTACATTGGGTGAACATGATAATCCAATAATTTATGATGATATTCAACTTTGTATGATTGAATAACTTTGGCGATAACAGTTTGTATTTCCAATTCAGCGAATCTTCTTCCTAAACACATTCGTTTTCCGTAACCGAATGGTAAAGATGCGAAAGGATGGTGGTTATTTGGATTTAAATCGTTTTTATCTTGAGCTTCTTTAGAATTTAAACGAATAGGGCAGCTTTTTAGAAATCTTTCTGGTAAAAATTCATCACTTTTTTCAAAGAATTTTTCCGTATTGCAAATAGTGCTATGAGGAAAAATTATATGAACTCCTTTGGGAATGTGGTATCCCCCGATTATGCAATCTTTCTTTGTTGTTCGGCCATTTCCAATAACAACAGGATATTTTCTGTTTTAAAAGAAACTCAATTTTTAATAATTTGTAACTTTTTTGACTTACCTCATAGTTTCTTTTATACAAGCTTTCAGATATGTTAAATTTTCAATTCTTTGTTCATTTAAATCCTTGTTATCTCCCATCTCTCTTTTAATTTCATCATAAAGAATTTGTTGTTTTTCTGGATGTAAAGCTAATTGATATAATATAGAAGCCACGGAATTAGAAGTCTAAAAAAGAAATACAAAATTAAATGCTTAACATATTAAAGAAGATATTTTTGAGATTTATGAAAGAAGTAAATAAAATTACTCTCAGATAGTTAACTGGATAGATAATACTAATAGAAGGCTATATACTGGTTGTAGATTCTGTTTGCAGAAGACTATTTAGTTGACAGAAGACTAGATACTGCAGACTAGATACATTTATAGTGTACAAAAGACTAGATTGTACTGGCAGAAAACTAGATTGTGCTGACAAAAAACGTAACACTTCTTGCGGAAAGCTACATACTTCTGGCAAAAGAGTATATATTGCTGGCAGAAGTCTACAAACAGCTGATAGAAGACTTGATACGGCTGGCAGAAAAGTAGATTGTGCTGAGAAAACATCAAATACTGCTTTAGAAAATCTACAAACAGCTGATAAAAGACTAGATACTACTGACAGAAAATAGCTACTCCTGACAGAGAACTAAATACAAGTAAGTGAAAACTAAATATTTTTAAAAATTATATTAATTAAATTATTAATGGCACTGTTAGATATATAAACAGTGTTGATTTATATTGATGGTTTTAAAAGAATATTAAAAATATAATTTTGAAATAACTACATTCTGACATGTGTCACACAAGTGTTAACAGCAAAGAAGTGACGGATGTAACACTTGGTAGCTCATTTGCAATGACCAAACAAAAACTTCCGTTGTGAGTGGAGGAAATTTGTTACCTAGTATGAACTAGTCCACCAGGCATCGTGGTGCGTCGTTTTCAAAATAGTTCTACACAAAGTATGGATATCTATGTGAATCTATAATAGAAATTGCAGGAAAAATTGATGTCATCAGCATCCATTAAACAATTTGAATACTCCAAAGTCCAAACAGTAAAATTGCTATTAATATTGTAGAATAACAGAGACCCAAAGATGTGTCCTAACACACCCTGGAGGTGACAAGCACCTGACATGACAGCAACATAGAAAGCAAGTCACATTGAAATGTTACACAATAATCCCATTTCTATTATATTCTTTAATAAAAGTAAAATAACCGCGTTCAAGTCTTGATAAAATACACTGCATCAATCTGGCAGTTGTCATTACGGTAATACAAAATCTAAGTAGTGTGTTTGAGAAGATTCCAATGCATTTTTAATGTTGAAAAAGATAGTTTTATACGTTTGTTTTCCAAACACCTTACTAAAAATAGGAAATAAGGAAATGGATCTATAGTTTGTGGAGATTGCCCGCTGCAACTTTTAGAAATCGAAGTTACTGTGGAACTAATTTTAATAGAAACTGTCTTGATATGTAATCTACTGCTGGCAGAGAATTTAAAATTATTTTATTTTAATAATTTTTAAGAAAAGTACTTAGGACGGGAATGAGGAGGGGAAGAGGTTGGTAGCCAGGTTTAGATGTGGCAATGAAGAAAGGGCCAATAGATATTGGAGGAGGAGGAGGAGAGGGGCAGACTATGTGGGGAAGGCTGGAAGTTCTCATCTGCTGGTAAAGTGTAGTAGTGAATTGAGGGAAGAGGAGATGGATTGGAGGCAGGTGCTGGGGGAGAGGGCGAAGGGAAGGAGATAGATGGGGGAGGTGGAGGCAGCGAGGAGAAGTAAGGTGACAGGGAGAGGTTGGTTAAAAGGATAAGCATTACATGTATAAGTTATAAGCAGAGCCCGGACAGTTTAGGAAACGTGCGCCCTTCCATACTAAGCGAATGCCTTGATAAGTGTACGCTTCGATTTAATTCATTGAATATTGAGACTGGAGTGGGAGGTGTTTTAAGATCACTGTCCGGGCTCTGGTTATAAGTATTAAAACAATAAATTATTATTATATCGAGACAAGTACTGTGTACAAAAATGTGGATGCAATTAATACTTATGAGGGTAACCTCATAAGTAACCACACATTTCTGTTTTAATTTATGTGAGAGTTGAGTTTTGTATGGATTTATTGTTGTCCTGCTTATTGCCGATATTGCTGGCGCATCTACTGTGCCTTCTTCAAGGTTTGTTATTGCTGTTTCTAATCTTAATGTTGAATTGATCTGTGTCTTCTTGGTTTTTATTATTTCTTTAAACTTCTTCCAGTCGGTGGTTTTGATTAGTTGTTTTTGATTTTCTGGTTGGACTTCTACTTCCATTACTACTGGGTAGTAGTCTAAGAAGAGCTCATTTATTATCTTGATTGTTATTCTATTATATAAGTTTTTTATAAGAACTGTTCGCTGTGTAAAGAATATGAGTTGGCTCTTCTGGGTCAATGACCAAGGTCTACGTCCTCGGCAAGAATTTTTAATCTTATGCCGTGTGTGTTTGTGACGCTGCTGTTCCAGTCTGGGTGCTTGGAGTTCACATCACCAGCTATGATTGTCGCTTTGTTTGGGCAAAATATTCCTTTAAATTCTTCTTCTACGCTGCAAATATGTTAATATCTCCCTTCTTGGTATTAACTTTGATGCCGTTTGCGTTGAGGTGTGTGATGTTCGCGATTAGGAGTTCTTCGTGTTTGATTTGATTTGACACGATAGCTGCTGTGCCTCTTCCTTTTCTTCCGTCGGGTCGATCCCTTCGATAGACTTTGTAGTTTTGTATGTTGAATCGGTTGCAAGGCTTCCGTGATGTCTCAGAGACCAGTAATACGTCAATTTTGTGTTCTTCCAGGAAGAGAGTCGTTTCGTTTTTTTTCAGCCTTATACTGTTTGCCTTCCAGAATGCTACTTTTAGAGATTTTGTATATTTGTTGTTTCTCATTAATGGTTGAATATTTTAATTATTTTCTTTGTCTTTACGAGGAATGTTTTGAGTTTGGTGCAGTCTTTCGTCGTATGCTTTGACCACACTTCATGCACTTGAATTCACCGTTGCAGTTTTTCTGTGCGTGTCCAAAGAGTTGACATCGATGGCACTGTATGATCTCTGTTTTTCGGTCTTCCCCATCGAAGGAAGCACAAAGGATAGCGATATCGATAACGTCCGTTAAATACAGCTCACTAATCTCGGAGGCGATGGATACCATAAACATAGATAATTTTGATGGGGTGAAAGAGTTCATCATAAGATCACATAAGAAATCCTGTCCATTAAGAAGGAGCCCGGACAAGTGCTACACCAATTCGTGGTGGAACACTGAGTAAAAACATTTAACAAAGCAAAAATATCGAGAAAAGAGGAAGACTGGGAAGTTTATAAACTACACCGGTCCAATTATAAAAAAAAAGACAAAGGAAGAGATTAGCTTGGCAAAAATTCTGTGAAGATATTGAGGACACACCGTCGGCTGCAAGGCTAGCAAAAGTGTTCATCAAGGACTCACAGGGGACTATAGGAATCTTCCAATCCTATAGAAAGTATATGTTTACTAATGACCTGTCATTTTTCAGGGTGTACCTTTACCGACAACCGGATATAGGAAGAAGAACCTGTGTGGAATCTAAAAGTAGAGGACTGGAGACTAGCAAATCTTGTGGTGACTGAAACCAGAGTTGGCTGGGGCATACAGTCCTTCTCACCATTAAAATCTGCCGGTCCTGATGATATTCTACCTGCGCTACTACAGTGGCGTATGGCGGAATTACTACCACACCTACTAAAAATATACAAAGGTTACTTAGCATTCCGCTATGTTCCCTTATCCTGGAGAGAAGTAAAGGCAGTCTTCCTCTCCAAACCTGGGAGGAGAGGTTACACTGATCCAAAATCATATAGACCAATCAGTCTTTCCTCATTCGTCGGGAAGACATTTGAAAGGCTATATGAAAGATATATAAGAGAAACGACACTGGAATATTTTCCCCTGCACCCAAACCAGCATGCATACACTTTGGGAAGATCAACAGAAACGGTCCTACAAGAAATCGTGGGAGTTATCGATAGATCTTTGGCCTATAAAGAGTTCACTCTCGGAGTGTTTATAGATATCGAAGGGGCCTTTGAAAGGACAGCTTTTCATACAATTAATAAAGCCCTTAGAGACAAAGGAGTCCAGCCTGCACTGGCGGACTGGATTCTAAATATGCTCTCCAAAAGGGCCGGCCATAGTGTAATTGATGCTAATAACGATAACAGGGTGGGGTCCTATCACCCCTGCTGTGGAATCTCACCCTGGACAGCCTTGTAAGACAACTGTCTGCTGAAAAATTCAATGTCTTCGCTTACGCAGACAATCTAGCCGTTTTAGTTGACGGGAAGTTCGAAAACGTCCTATGTGACCGGATGCAAGCTGGACTGAGAATCATCGAACGCTGGTGTCGAGACAATTCTCTGTCGATAAACCCGAATAAAACAGAGATTAGAGCGTCCTGGCTTTGCAAAGTTCCCTTGCGCTTTGCCAATGAAGTGAAGTATCTGAGGTTAACTCTGGATAAAACGCTGACTTGGAGACCGCACATCGAAGGTAAGATAAATAAGGCACGCATTGCGTTCGCTCAGTGCAGAAGGGCCGTTGGGACCTCGTGGGGTTTAACACCCAAAATATCCTTGTGGATATACACTGCCGTAAGTTAACTTACGGCACTGTAAACTGGTGGCCAAGAGTTAGAAATAAAACGATTGTTTTGCAACTAAAAAAATTGCTTTCAAAAAAATCTGGGTTGTCTATACGTTACAGGCTCGATGATAACCACACCAACAGCAGCAATAGAGAATGTACTGTGCCTTCCTCCTCTAAAGAATTCTAGAGAATTCTGCACTACGATGGACTTTATCCCTATCATTTACAGAAAGTCCAGCATTTACTTCCTGCGTTACGAATGGGGCCTAGATTTCAAGGAATGGTATTAACAACACACATAATTCTCACATCTGGACGGATCAAAACCCACACGAAGCAATCGTTGTTAACCATCAATATCGTTTTTCCGTCAACGTGTGGTACGGCTTGTTGAATAATCAACTTGTTGGGCCTCATTCTTTTGAAAGACGTCTTAGTGCAGAAACTTACCTTAATTTTTTGGAAGAAGAATTGCCGAATTACATAAAAGATAGTCCTAGAAGCTCGTCTTGGGATGTGGCCCCAGCAAGATAGGGCACCATCACATTTTGGGAGACAAGTGAAGGTAATTCTTAATCAAAATTTTCCGGAAAGGTGGATAGGACGAGGTCCAGGACGATGGTCCTGTACATTGGCCAGCTCGGTCACCTCACTTGTCGCCTCTAGATTATTTTCTATGGGGTTGCCTCAAATCTCGTACGTATAGTAGTAGTGGTAAACCAGATACACGCGAAGAGTTGATTGACAGAATAGTTGAAGCTACTAATTCGCTAAAGAAATTAACTAGCAAAATTTTATAACACGAAGGATAGCTGCTTATTTAGAAAATGGCGGTTCTTATTTTGAACAACTGCTGTAATTTTGTGTTAATTAGTAAATTAATAAATTTTCTATTATCATTTCTATTTGTTTTTTGTTCTTTTTTATTTTTATTTCGATATCTCCGAAACAAAGAGGAATTCACCTATAGGTGATATACCATTTTTTGATCGTAATGACCCCCGCAATATATGGTATAAATTTGTCGGTCGAGTCACGGAACACCCTGTAGAATATACAGATTGCAGACAAGCCCTCCTCTCGCTCGGGCGGTATCGCTGTTTATCCTCGTTGCTTGAGGACTGCCATAACAATCTTTGTGAGGCAGCCGCTTGCAATGAGATTACGATCTGCTAGACAAAGGGTAATTCGGGAAATAAGCTTCATGACATTGTGGACAAAGTGGCAAGGAAAGCTGCAGGCGAACCTCCGGGGTCGCCAGAACCATTCATTACTCCAACAATAAGGTCTTTAATAGAGCTTCAAAAAGAGGAAACACGTAAGAAGTTTCTAAACTACTGGGACAGGATACCAGGATGTCGCCAAGCCAAGGAAGCTCTGATGTACCCTGACCCTAAATGAACAGATTTATTTATGAGGTTGTCCAGGAAGAACCTACGTTTGGTCATAGGTCTAATCACTGGACACTGGCATCTACAGAAGCACTTACTGAACATGAGAATAAGTGACACCGACATCTGCAGAGGATGCGGTGAGGAGGAGGAATCGGCGGAACACATTCTATGCGACTGCGTGGCCCTCCTAATGTTGACCAAAAGAGGGAAGTAAGTACAGGGTGTCCCGTTAAGCGTACGGAGCGGCTGCATCTCTAGAACGTTAAGGCCTAGAGGTTTGGGAAAAAAATCCTTATAAGCAAAGTGACCAAGAGAAATAGCTGGAAATTATTTTGAAGTTCGTAATTCGACCGCTAGGGGGCGTAACTGCCATTGAGAAACATTAAGTTCCCGCTATCTCAGAAACTTAGACGATGAGCTATAACTTTGACAACATCATTTAATAGCTTGGATAATACAGCATCGCTTTTGTTTTGCGATATTTCTCATATGTGTCATAATAAGGGAGGGGGAGGCCAATGCGTTTTCATATGTTTACACTTTAATATTTCCTAGACCATTCAACCGATTTGAATATTTTCGGTGTTGTTTGAAAGAGCATTTTATGCTCTTTTTAAAGATATTTTCAGTAAGACCAAACGGTCTTTTTAAAGCAATCTGTTTAAAGCAAACGCTTTAAAACAAATGAGCTAGAGGACGTTATCTGCAGCGATTACATATTTTTGTGATTTTTGAAGAAATGTTAAATGGAACGATACTATTTACTTCACAGATCCTTAGTCACCTTAAAATTTGCTAAATTTTAGTGAAAACCGCATCTCGATATAGCCACCCGTTCTCGAATTATACAAGAAAATGTTAAAAACTCAAGTACCATCAATCGGATCCTTTCTGAGATAGCGGGAATTTTATGTTTCTCTATGGCAGTTACGCCCCCTAGCGGTCGAATTACGAACTTCAAAATAATTTCCAGGTATTTCTCTTGCCCACTTTGCTTATAAGGATTTTTTTCCCAAACCTCTAGCCCTTACCGTTGTTGAGATACAGCCGCTCCGTACGCTTAACGGGACACCCTGTACAGGGGATCTGCTGAGGTCAAAGTGCTGCGGGCGGTTCAGCCTGCTTTCCCGCGAATCCAGAATCCAGCGTCCTATACCGAAGACGAAACAGACTGCAGGCCGACGACTGTCATTAACTGGTCATCATATTCCGGCGAAGAACTCTAGGTCCAAAATGCAAACAGGGTTTCGAAATAATTATATAATCGTTATTTTGACTTCAGAGTTAAAATATTTTTGATAAGAATACGTTTTTGTTACCGAATATATGTCATGTTTTTCATAGAATATACATTTATTTTAAGAGTCAGTCTTTGAAATTTATTTACCCGAGTATATTTCTATTTTGGGTAAATGCCGGGTATATTCCCAGGATATTTAGAAAAAAAATATTTACCCATCACTAGATTCAGATCACTAGGGTCGGCGTACCACTTATAGCCAGTTTAAGGATTGCAAAGAATTGAATTGTCGTTAGGTGCTATGATTCTTAAGGATAGATAATATAGTTTTTTTGCGATCATTGGTGGAAAAGTATTAAGAAAATAAAACGTAAATTCAACAAAAAACATAAAAAGGAAAAACTACCCCTATTATAACCACTTGATCACCATTTATAGCCTGGTGTATGCACTATATTTAGCCACCATACTTAATCTAAACTGAAATTATTGATAAATTGGGAATTTAATTGATTGAAAACTACTATATAAAGATGTAATGATTTGAAAAAGAAGTGCAACGATTAATAATTATAATATATGTATATTTAGATAGATGTATATAATAATATCCAGACTCTTTCTGCGTGACTAAAAACTTCACTGTCTTCAATTGAATCTCTTGAACTTCGGCAAACCAAGCTCTAATTTTTTCTTCGTTGTTTTTGACTTATTCGAGGATAACGTTTCAAAAAGGATTCCATTACCTTCCTGGTGAATTGTTTGTGAAAGGAATGTCTAGACGGTTCTTCTCCAATATTTGCTGAACAGAATACATTAGTCTTTCCTTGTTCACTGGAAATCCATGGCTCGCGTTTGCCAATATCCAGTATTCAAGTTGATCTTCAATACCCTTACCTACAAATAATATAGCAATCAAACTGCCAAAACATGGGCTACTATTTGACATTGATTGGCTATAAACACTGCTGTCCAAGTAAACTTGTAGTTTCTTTCAGAAACAATGTTCTTTTTAGTTTTTAATCAGTGGTTATCTATTATTCCTAGCTAGAAACACCTTTTTCCAACTTTTTCCATCTTTGCTGAAGTTTTATCACTTAACTTATCACGCAAAATTGTTCTAGGCACTGTAAAACTACTACTGGTCTTTGCCACAGCCATTCCATCTTGTTCTACTGCTTGAAGTGCGCGTGCAAGTTGTTCTGAAGAGTATCTATCTCGATCTATTAATATTTTCCTTTGTTTTCTTTTTCTTTTTTGATGGTGCCATTCTCAATAAAATACCAAAGCAAAAACTAACTTGGCTATAATAGGGCCGTTAACGTCAATCGATTAGAAAGACCGTCTTTCAAAAAATCGATAATGTAAATTAAATTAGACGGATTAGTAACGTTTTCACGTTCGAAAATTGTTTAATTTTTGCAATAATTAATGTAAAAGTTTAAAATTCCCCACCCCTGATTCATTGTGACGTTTTAAGTAAGAAGAAAGAAATCACAGACGTGATTTCTTTCCCGTTTTCTTCTGTTTTCTTCTAGCGCATAAGATTCGTAGCATTGTCTCTCTCTAGGAATTTTATTGATTTTTATACGCTCCAATCATACGCTCAAATCTGAGTGACGCGCTACTGAATTCGCGGCCTGTAATTTCAAACTTTATTATTTTTTTTTGGAAAAACTAAGCCTCAGAATCAAAAATTAAAAAATATGGGGTCAATCAATTTTAAAAAACTTTCGAATGAGCCAATAAAAAAAAAATAGTTAACGGCCCTATTGATACATCAATGGTCTAAATATAGCCATATCCTGGCTAAAATTGGCAAACATTTGTCTAAACATAGCCATCTAAGTGACTTTAGCCACTTTTAATTTATAGAAACTCGTGAACAAAAATCACTAAATAAACATATCTTTATAAGCACAAATAAGATATAAATGTACAGACAAACATTTACATAGTGCCAATGTTACTAGACTAATTAATTACAGATTACTTAATACTTAATACTTATTACTTAATACAGATTAATTATACTATTTGTTACTTACCTGTGTTCTTAAGCAAACCGACAAGAATTTAATGAAAACACGACCGGACTGGAAACACAACCACATAAATTTTTAATATTCACATAAACTCTCTGTTGCTATCAGTTGCTAGTTGCTATGCGCTTGTATGACGTCAGGCTAGATTGTTTGATTAACGATTTTAAACCATAAGGGAAAAACCTGGAAAGTGGCTATAACTGGAACAATGGCTATAATTGGTACACCGACCCTACTTACAATAAGAGTGTTCACATTATAATAAACTATAAGCTTTAATACAAACCTACAGCGAATTTCAAGGAAATCTCTAATAGTTGACGGAAAACATTTAACAAACGTAAAAATTATAATCTTTTTCATAAAGTTTTAACTTGTATATATTTTCTATTAGCCAAAGCCAAATAAAAAATGTTATTATCGGAATATTAACAAGAATTCAAACCCACAGTAAAATCAGAAATTAATATTTTCTCATTATTGTTATTATTATTCAGATAACGTCGTAAAATGATTATGATTTGCATCGGTAATAACCTCCCATTCAAACCTAGTACTACTTTCTCTTTTCAAGCACGAATTCAGAAAGATCTCATCATAGAGATTATCATTTTTCAATTGTGCTCTTGAGTCATGCCTTAAAATTAGATACACGAGAAAATAGACGAAGGAAGAGCAATTTACTTTCACTTTGATGGTATAGAAAAAAAACGAAATGTGAAATGTTACTTGTTACTCGACATCATTAAGATTAAAAAGTGATCGTCAAATTTCTTTTCTCCAATAATTTTTTATGAGAAAAAATTACCGTGTCTATTCCAACTAAAAACATGTCCAACGCTAAAATACAAGCCGTTTTAATGTTATTATCCATTTTTAAAACTCGTTGTAAAACAGATGGTTCTTGGTTTTGTTTTAATGATGCGTTTTCTAATGATTTGTTGATGTATTTTAAGCAAATTCTAAAATTAAATTGATTTAGATATTTTATGAGTTTTTAAGTGATTTTTTTACTTTCTTATTGTTTCTAAAGCTTCAATATAGCGTTTAAAAGTTGGGTAATACATTGGATTTTTCATAAAAGTCCAAAATGGTGTTTTTAATTCTAAAATTGGAACATTAACAAAAAATTCGTTAACAGCGTCGATTAAAATTTGTGTGTCTTCCGGGTAATTTTCTTGAAGACATCCCAATTGGACGTCAAGGGCTACACTTGCAATTGCTAAAAAATTTGTTATTAAAATACATAATCTTGCTCATTTATAATTGTTTACATTCCAGCGACCATTTATGCACTTCATTTAAGAAATTTTCAGGTACTTCCTGGTTTAAATCTTTAATTTTTTCAATTCTAAAACAATTTTTATTAACACGAATTTATTAATTACTTTTTTTACCTTTCAACAAATTCTTGAGCAGCCTTTTCAATTGGTTTCATGTACATTTTAGCAATTCTCGGTTGTAATAAGATTTTATTGACTTTCGAGCGAAATATTTGCCAATTTTCACCATGTCTAAAATAATAATTTTGAAATCAGCTTTCTAATAAAAACCACGAATTACTTCCATTATAATTATAAATTAGAAAAATAAAAAATGCTTTGTTCGCCAGTGTTGTAATTAAAGTGGTTGATAAGTGAAACTTACACTGCAATAACTCCAGCTTCTTCGCCAAAAAAATCCTTTCTATACACGTGTTTATAATAATTCAACGATGGCATTGATGGTCTTAAAGGCATCGAATCTTCTTGTCGAAAAACATTTTCAATTTCATCTGGATTAAAAATAAATAACATATCTGGTTTTCCTAATAAACCATCAACTTTAACGATGTCACCATATTCTTCGTAAAGAGCTTTAGATACTTTATCTAAATGTTCTACTTTGTATTGACCTATTAATAAAAAGAAATTCTGCCTGATTTTTGCAAGATTTAATTATAATTTATTTTTAATGAATTTCTACCAGTTTTTCTTATTGCAACATAATTTGAAGGTGATAGTTAAAAAGGAAAAACGTTTAATTAGAGAGAAAATTAATTACCACAGAATTAAATTGACTACATGTTAATTTTGTGTTAAAACAATTTAATTATTTGTTCTGAATGTGTTAATAATGATCGCGATTTGAATATTAAATTAAACGGTAAATGTATTAAATGCTAATGGAGAGTTTCATTTAATGTTTAAACGATTTGGGTGCGTTGGAGAAAGTGCTTTACTAGATCGGAACATTTTTTTTTATTATTCAGTACGCTCTACCTTCGGGTCAATTACACCAGTTGATTTATTCTAATAAGCATCCAACTTTCACTGTTTTTTAACGTTTTACTTTTTTCATTTAATTTAAAAATGCAAAACTTTTTATGCAGAGATGCATAAAAATGGATTATTGTTAAGTTTAAAAGTGAAAGATAAATGAAAAAGTGATCTTAGTTTTCTTGTACAACTCAATCCAACGATTTTAACAAATTTTATGCGGAAATTATGATTTGATAAGATTTTTCTAAACATTACTAGATTTTGGTAATTTTTAAAAAGTTTTATGATTTAAGACCACTTTCAAAAACTTGTAAGTGTTCTTAAAAAAGTGCTATTGCGCATTTGGGCTTAATATCTCCAAATGCACTTGTCGGATCAACATGAAATTTTAAATTTGAATTTGACTAAACAAAATCTGTTGTTAACAAAATTTTCAATTGTTTAACTGTCAAACTTTTCAAGATGTTCTGCATTCGGGGGTGTAATGACTTTTATCAAAACATTGTTTAATTAACGGTAAATAAAGAAAAATGGTAAAAATGAAAATGTCAACTGAATCTAGTTACCTCTAAAATTTAATCATAAAACATCAACAAACATGTTTGAGCATTTTTCAAGATTTGCTTGAAAGTAAGTAGGTAACAGAACCGGGAAAAAAATATGGTTTTTGCTACAAAAATAATAACAACAATACTTATGGACAAACGGGACACAAAAATTTACAATCATTTGTTCTGCCAGAGTGTACTCTAATCAAAACATTGTAATTAAGTATTTTAATAAACGGTAAATAAGGAAAAATGGTAAAAATGAAAATGCCAACTGAATATACCGTCATGTATATACAAAATTTATTACTGATGTTTCAAACTTATCTCAACATAAATAATGCATCGGATATGTTCAAACCACTAAGGCCCGTTACTACCAAACCAATGCTATCTATCAGTTAAGCTATCTATAAGATACAATTTATCTCGTAGATAACAGGGTCGTCCGTTTATCTCACCTCCATTTATCTCATAGTTAAGAAATCCTTGAGATAATCAAGTAATCTAGGGATTTTTTGGTCTATTATATTAAATTGACAGCTCTATGTGGCCAAAAGACCTACTATTAGGTATTCTAACTATATATTCTAACCTGTTCTAACCTTAAAATTAAAATTTGGAAATGGAGACTGAGAAAATGCGACGAAACACCAATTTCATCAAAGAAGAATCTCGTATTATTGTATGTTAAAATGTGATGGTAAACAATAATGGCACAACTAACATGATGAACGACTGAAGATGCCAATTGTACACTCACTCCTGTAAAATCTGCTATGGATAGCAACATGTTACCTATTGCATAAAACCGAAGAGTCAGCAACAAACAGTTTGAAGGAGGTACTAAATTTTGATGAATTTTACATTAAATAATAGCAATCAACAAATTACTTACATCATGGATGGAGGTTTTATTACATCTTCTCTTTGATTCAAAAGGTGATGAAAACTTTTTTTCGAGAGACGAAATATCGTCATAAATTCAATATCTGAATGAATATTTAAATGGTCAACTCTACTCCTTATTATCTTTTCGCTTCTTATAGGAAATTGATTTCTGCAAAAATTTGTTCTTCATCTCCAATGTCGAAGAAATTATCCATGATGATTTTTATGTTAATTATTAATAGTTTTTTATTTACGTTTATACTACTTTTCTTATTTTAACTGAAATAGTAAAACGCTCGAATTTTATACATCAGTATTAAAGTAAATTCTATTTGAGGTTAGGTATCCCTTAGATAGCAACTTATCCGACACCCAATCCACGGGTTAGGCTCGTTACTATCATCTTCTGGTTAAGCTATCTAAGGGATTATTACCACGGTTACTGCTAGTTTACGCGCTCTGATAGGCTAGCAGATGAGTTTATCTATAAGATAAATTTGACTGAAAGATGGTAGTAATGGACCTTACAGATAGTTCAAAAGTTATCCCTTGGATAGCGGTATCTATAAGATAAATACAGTGGTAGTAACCAATTTTTAAGCTATCCGATAGATAACGCTATCAGCGAATTTAACTATGAGTGGTAGTAGTGGGCCTAAATCGCACGAACTTTATATTCTAACTATAGAAGTTAACTAATTATTCCCATTTTTATGTAAAAATTAGACTTTTCCTAAATTAAAAATTTTTCAAGTTCAATTTATGACATGTAACTATAGAAACCATAAAAGTTACAACTTATGTTATTGAAAAATATACGGACAAATCAAATTAGAATATGGGTAATTGAATAAAATATTTTATCTACAACTATTGAATTATCTATTCATTATACATTTGATTTTTGACGGGTAATGACATGCATTACCCATGACTGACAAAGTGTTGAATAATGAAGCCATTATTCCACAGTTCTGACACGGCCTACTAATCAAAAAATAAAATATTAACAGAATGACAGCTTTCTTATATTGAGGTTATTTCTGAAATGTCTATCAAGTTTATTATTTTTTCCTTTTTTTTGATTTTTTTTTCAAAATTAAATAGTTGTAGATAAAGTATAGTATTCAACTTGCGTATAATGGATGTTACCCACTCAGATTACAACACTCGCTCGCTTCGCTCGCTCGTGTTGCAACTTCATCTTATACGCTTGTTGAATAATATACTATTAAATGTAAATTTATGTAATAACACTATACATATAAGTAATAAATATTATTTATTTGTAACTGAACAAATCAACTATTCATTCAAACAAATCACCTCCTAATTCGGCACACATTTGAAGACAAGTTCTAAATTCTTTATAAGAATTACGAATTTCTGCCAGTGGTAGAGATTCTATCGTATTAATTTTTCTTAGTTTTAATAGTTCTGCATCGTCTTGTAATGGTTCACTGTAAACAATTTGTTTCAATCATCCCCAAAATTAAAATCCATAAAGTCCATAATTGTAAGATCAGGACTACGTGACCATCAAATAGGACCATTTCGTCCAATCAATTTTTTGACGAAATTGTACATTTAACCATTTGGTACAATGTATGAATGGTAAGCTGGGCAACTGTCGTTCTAAAAGTACATTGACCGTATAAAATTTGCTGGGAAGAAACAATATCATTTGTTGAAAAGGTGCTTTCATCCGAAATTACAATAAATTTATGAAAATTTCTGTTATTTAATATTTCATTACCAATCTCAAGACAAAAATCCAAACCTTTGGCATCATCGCCGGCATCCAAAGTATGTCTAAATCGTGGTCTAAATGGTTTAATTTTATTTTCTTTGTAAATTCTGGAGAGGTGCGATTTACTAATTTCAGTTTGTAACGCTCTTCTTCGCAGTGATAATTTTGGAGTTTCTTGATCGCAATTTAATGCTATTAGAGAAGCCGCGTCTTCCTCATTTAGTCTCTCCGTCTGCTTCTTTATAGATAATACAGAACCCGTTTCCAGAAATATTTTCATAAGTTTGCGAGCCCCAACATGAAATATTTTTGTGTCCGGATATTTTTGCTGAATTTTTTGTATAACCACACGAAAACGTGATTCACCAGTACTATAGCACTGTACTAAATAAATTCTCTCTTTCACGGTTAACATCGCATGAAAAGACAATCTCACTAACATAAGTTGTAACCTTTATGGTTTCTATGGTTACATATCATAAATTGAACTTGAAATATTTTCTATTTAGAAAAAAGTCTAATTTTTACATAAAAATGGGAATAATTAGTTAACTTCTATAGTTAGAGTATAAAATTCGTGCGATTTAATAGTTTGAAAATATCCGACGCATTATTTATGCTTAGATAAGTTTGAAAAATCTGTAATAAAATTTTTTTTCCTCTTTGTAACTCGAGCCGGGAACATACTGTATATATATTTTAAACCGTACGTCAATATAAATCTACCTGATAACTATTCGGCCGATAAATTTATCGGGAGGATAAAGATATTCGCTGTTGTATATATAACCTGTTTTTCTCGGTAGGATTGCTATTGGCGAAATAAGAGTCAGTTGGTAGTATTTTCCCCATATCTATCCAGTAATTCGTGCCGTAGGTTGGTAACGCAATAATAACAATTGTTTAATATAAGCAGTTGCAGTAACCATACAAAGTTTTTATACAAAAACCTTGGTAACCACAAACAGGGTTTCAGTGTTAAAAGTAACAATTGGTGGGATGTCAGAATTGGGCTAAAATAGAGCGTGGTTTATGAAGTAAACGGAGGTGTCACTTTCAAACAATTCAACCAATTCCCCCAACTTTCGTTATTAATTTCGTGTCGCCAGCAAAAATATTTGTGTTTCTAAGAAATACAAATATACACAAAAAAAAGAAAGTGTGTTTAAGAAGCGATTTTTTTAATAAAAATTTTTCACAATGTTTATAATAACCGCACGGGAACTGTTTAAAGTCGTCCAATAGCGATTATCGGAAAAAGTTTATTTCTCTTTCCGTGTCGAATCTATTGGTGAGTACACGTATCCTTCAACCGCACAATGCTCTGATGCGGAAGATACGGAACTCCTGTATAGTTTGGTTCACGAATTGTCATATATCGGAATTGTCGCGAGTCCACCAATTTCGGAAGTAAACATTCGTAAAACCTTTTTAATTTGTACTC